GTTATTTACACCTCAAAAAAAATTAAAATCATCCGTGTGGGGAGAAGCGCCTGGATGTGTCCCTGTGTCCCAGCGCGGGTGTTGGACAGCCCGAGCTGCCTCCGTGGGGAGCTGGAAGGGGAAGGAGCAGCTCCCATTCGAGTCCCACCTTTCCAGCYGTGCCCTGGCGCTTGCTCCAGGGAGTTTCTCTGATTTATGTGGTTTTCCTGATTTTCAGGRGGGAAGAACAGCGCTTGCAGGAAGTGGAAATGCAAATAGCTGACAAATGAGAGGGTGGGTTCGTGCAGCACAGCGTGTGTGTGATGTGAGCCATAAAATAAAAAAAAAAAAGGGATTGGGAAATGAGTGGCTRCTTTCTATACTGAATATTCAGTTGCATGATAGTATCAGGATGCCGAATTACAGTGATGTAACTGTTTGCTTTGCTGGAGACATAATTAGGTTGAAGTCGCCGTGACTGTTCACATTAACAGCCTTAAATTAGCTCTTTTGAAGYGAATGCTCTCTGACTTTGAAAATTTACAGATAAAAAGCAGCCGTACTGGTTCATTAGGAGATRAAACTGATGTGAAATTTTAGCGGTTTGAGATTTGAGTTAAATAGCTGAGAGCTCTTTGTGGCTGAAAAGAATTKGTAATACTTTTATCTCTCTMAAGCTTCTTGGGTTTCCTTTRGCATRGTATTATTTTGTATCATACAGATCRAATGGATTTCTTTTTTATGCCTTTTTATGAGGACAGAGAACTTTTAAGGAAAGTGAATTAATGGAATTCTGCAGTGGTTGAAAGGCWGAACATGGAGAACATTGAGGAAATGAGAGGATTTATGTGTCTGATAYGAGGAACAATTGAAATGAAGGCTTGAACATTCCTTCCATGAACATTGAAAGTTGCTAGTGAGAATAATTTGACCAATAGCATTATTTTTTGGCACCTGAGAGGAAGAATCACATAGAAACGGATGTGGATATAAAAGCTGACATAAAAATGTGCTTACCARCCTGATATCACAGTGCATTCACTGTGTGTGATACCTGAGCTCTCTTTAGCTGAGTGTGAGGATAGAGCATGTACTGATGAATTCAAAAATTAGAAATAAAAATACTACTCTTTTAAGTGTAATGTGTTTCATCCAATTGCTGTTGGCAAAGAAGTAAAATTTTCAGCTTTCACATGCCAATGTTGATATTGGTGTAAGCCTTCTGGGGTCTAATCTGAATTTGAGCCMGTGGCCCTGTTCCAGAAGAGGCAGAAAGCAAAGCCCAGCCATAGATTGTGTTCGTGTCCTTCTCAGGTGAAGGTTATTTCATCCTGAAGTGTTTTGTCCTTGCTGCTGTTACCCCGTTGAACCCTTGTTGTATCAGTGTGTTTGGGTCTTTGGGCAGCAAAGTCATGTGTAATTTATTTTCTTTGACTTTCACAGCTCTGGGTGAAAGACTTGTTATTGAAAAGATATCCTGCTGAGCATCTCAGATATTATTTTGTGCTTATGGAGGAGTGAACTGGTATCACAAATCTCTGTCTGATAGCAAAGCTTTTTAATACTTTTTATATGTTCTGAATACATGCATAGRGATGGTTCCTTTAATTTTTCATAACTTTCATAACGTGAATTCTCGTTTCTGGATTTTGAGGATGTTTATAAAGATGCTACTGCCATAAAACATAGAAGTGATTTGGGTTGGAAGGGATTTTAAAGATCATCCCATTCCAACCCCATGTGGGAACATCTTCAGCCAGATGGGATTGCTCAGATCTCCATCCAAACTGGCCTTGAACAATTCCAGGCATCCAGGGGCAGCCACAGCTTCTCTGGGCAGCCTGTGCCAGGGCCACCCCACCTTCACAGGGAAGAATTAATTCTGTGTATCTAACCTGAATTTCATTTTCAGTTTGAAAAAAAGCCATAAATAATCAGATGACCAAATTCCCAATAAGACCTTCGTACTTAAGCTGAAGTAGTGCTATATACCCTTAGTCTGAGATGTTTTAGAAACAGCACATGCCCTCTTCAAAGCTGGAAAGGAACAATTCCAGTGGTTCCTGATGGACTGGCTTAAGGAGAATTGTTATGTTAAAGTAGCTTGCAACGTGACTGTATTGAATGTATAAAATAGTAAATATTCTCTCCCATGTGTTCCCACTGTGATGTGTCCCTACAGCAGAGCTGAGATGGACCAGCACAAGGAAAGGGCTGCAGGTATAAATGAGAAATCCAAGTGATCACAGCTTGCCTGGATCTGCAGTAAAAAGTCAGTGATTCCTCTGAATTAGGTGTGACCGTGTGCAGACATTATCTGCTGGATATTTATCTGAAMAGTCCAAATTGCCCATGGAATTAGGTGCAGGAGGGCATGTGCCTGGTTGGTTTGCTTAAAACTCAGGAGTTCCTGGAGTTAATGTTTATACTGCAACCTCTTAGGGAGATTACAGGGCTGGGATTTTGATTTGCCACCAGTGCTCTGCTTCCAGGTAGGATTTAAATCCATTGTACGTGCGTGCTGCAGGATTATTATTCTGATATGAAGTGTTTGTTCGTGTCACTCTAACTATTGAGAGCAATCAGAAATGTTGAAATGTTTTCTTTATTGTGTCATCACTGAAATGGGAGGAATCTTAGGAACTGTCCATTGTGTAGCTTGAAGGAAAAATAGACAGCTGATGAATTTTTAGCCTGTATATAAATTCTGACTTGTTAAAAAAATTACAGAGAAATTAGCTTTTTTTTTGTTTCCCTACAACAATGGTTTTTCATTCTTCTTCAAAAAATAGCTGGGGGAAGGACTGTTCTTAACCCTGAAGTGCCTCGTTTTCTGAATTATAATTACCAGTTCAGGGACCTTGTGATACAATTAATTACGTTATCTTCCTAATTCCCTGGGGTAACCTTCTTCCACTAAACCCAGTTATTTTACAAGACCATCCTTCTAGTGTTCATGAGTTTATAGTGTAACTTCTTCAAAAGTTGTTTCAGTTGTTTTTTTTTTTTTTTTTTCCAGAGGTATATTTGCATTTTAGGCCTGAGTTTCAGTACCAGTGAGGTGCAGATCAGGTGAGACATTCCCAACCTGAGAATTTCAAGTGCCAGCTAAGAGTGGAACTGGATTGSGTCATGTTTAATATAACCACGTGTGCTGATGAAGTTGTGCATAGGAAATTGAATAATTTGGTATTATCTTGTGCTAGATAAAGATTTGTAAAAGGTCAAATTAAAAACTGTTGCTTGGTGTATTCATGTAATGCTTTGTCCTTTTGTACTCCAAGTATGTAAATTTGGTTAGGACAGGCACTGAAGCAAATAAATGAAGAGTGGAGGGAAGCTGTGAGTGTCTCAGTGGGGATGCTGAGCTGTTCAGAAAGGCAGTGCTTCAARCATTGATCCTCTTCCCTTGGAGGGACCAGGGTGGGGGCACTGCTGTGGGCAGCTGGAGAGGAGAAGAACAGGGGAAATCACATGAGAATGACTAAACCCATTATTCTTGCAAAGCTCATCTGAGGGGACACTTGCACATAAACCAGTAACCGGTGCAGGCTGTGATAAGCACAGATTTTGCACAGGGTTGCAGTCAGGATTAGGGACTGACTGAACAAATCACGTCCCTGTCTCGTCAATAAACTCTCCGTGAGCAATTGCAGCTGATGACTCTGACTTGAATCTTTCACCTGCAGAGGCTGAGTGTGTCATGTTCCATTGCCTGTCATCCTCAGCTCCACATGGGTGGGTGACGCTGCACATTAATGGGAGACACTCAACCTGTCTGCTCRTGTGTCTCTGCTTCGCTGCCACCAAATGTCACCTCCGTGACAACTTAATGGTCGTGGATTTCACAATATTGTGAAGTTGAAGAAAAATCTAAAAGCTTGTTTGTAAAGCAAACTAGGAAGCAATCACAGCTTCCTGCAGTGATACGGAGTATTAGGAGGGGGATGGTTTTAAACTAAAGGAGGGTCAGTTGGGATTTGGTATCAGAAGTTTTTTTACAGTGAGGGTGCACAGATTGCCCAGATAGGCTGTGAATGTCTTATACTTGGAAATGTCCAAGCTCAGGTTGGAAGATGTTTGGAGCAAGCTGAGATAGTGGGAGGTGTCCTGCCCATGGCAGGGGGTTGGACTCGGTGACATTTAAAGGTCCTTTTCAACCCAATCTGTTCAATAATTCTGATATGTGCATAATAAACATTTGCGTTTCCTTTTATTCTTGCAGTAGAATRTTTGAGTTTGTTTAAATAAGAGATTTCTCCTTATAAATCCCCCTTGAACTGGGAAAATTGGAAAATGTATCATGAGGAACTCCATCAGTGATGTTGTATTTRGAGTATCTATTTCCAACAAGCTGGTTTCAGAACCTTTCCTTTTCGAGAAAGGGACTTCATATTTTCTGTAGCTCTTAAATGTCAGAATCCTTACGTTACTTTCAAAATACATTAATTGAAGTWAACCTTGCAAATAAGAGCGATTTCCCTGTCACGAAATTTACTTCAAATCCGAGAAAACAAAACAGGTGAAGGAAACAACCCGAAGTACTTCTTTAGGCAGCTTTAATCAGACAGAAATTCAGGCCCACACCTCTTCTGTTCTCTTCCCCAAATAGAAATGTAATGCAAGATTTTGTGCTGCAATCCTGCTTCAAGTGCCATGTGGTGRTTTCCAAAAGTTAACAGCTAAAAAATGTCAAGCTCTCAAGTACCTGGTTTTTTAAATAAACTTTTTCATTGTAACAACATTTCACATGTTTCAGAGTGCTACTATTGTTGTTTAATATTTGTGTTTAACAGTATTTTCCTGCTGCAGCTTTACTAATCAGTTTGTTGGTGCTGTCTTTTCAGATTACATCAGATATGACTATGTGAATAGCCTGGGATAGCCCAAAGGCAGGACAGGATGTCACAATAACATACAAAACATTTTTGAGGTATTTGTTTTGTTTTGGGGTTTTTTAATTGTGCTAAATTTTTTTGGTTGTCTTTAAGACATTTAAGCAAAATGAATGCAGTAACTCTGTGCTATTTTGTTCTTAAAACATTCCTTAAAAGTTCTGTAAGCCTTTTTTGATGAAGTAATAGCTGAKTTGCATAGTTATCTTCATGTTCCAGCTGCTAATTATGGAGTTTTATGAAACTTGAATTTTCTTGACCACAAGGGCTGGTGGATGTCCCAAAGTGCTATTGGACTTAATTGGCATAGAYTGTAGTTTTAACTATGAACATTTAGAAAGATTAGGGTAATTTGGAGTGGATGAAAAGTGGGCCTTATCTAGGTTAAGTTARGCTTGATTTGCTTTTAAGGGAGATGAAGTTCATTCTTTCCTAAGGTAATTTTCTAGTGTATGACAGCTTCATCCTTGGCTTAGCAGCTGCATTCTGGTGAGAGAGGAAACTTCTGCCCAAAAAAMCCCCAATGTRTGGACAGAAAACACAGTTTAACTCCTAGAGATTGTAATAGATCCAAGGACCAGAGCTGAATTTCAGTTTGTTCTGTTCCATGAGCAGAGAATGTGTCCTTCAGACACCTCACTGTGTCCTGGGAGCTTCCCAGCTATTTTTGCAGTTGCTCTCACATCTCTCTGCTGCATCTGCATGTATTTATTTTCATTTCTAGTTTCTTGGATATCTCCTGCCTGGTTCTAACATCAAAGCTTAAGGATCAGAAGGATTTCCTGGGCAGAATGTGTTTATCTGATTCTTGATAAGASAGTTTTTTAAGGGTTTAGACAAAGGTAGCTTCATCAAAAACCATCTCAGTGCCACTCTCTTCACCTGGTAATGGTYGCTTGGAGTGTTCAAGAGAAACACAGTGATCCCATAGTCAAGGTCTTGGGATGGAAACTGAAGTGCCATAATCCCTACAGTCATACATAGACTGCCATTAATAAAGAGGGGAAAGGGAGACCTCTGTGTGCCTGTCATAAATCAATAGAAATGCTTTCAAGTTTCTCTCAGACATGGCCTTTAACAGCATGAATCAATATGATTTTTAGGACACAGTATACTTTTAAAGCAGCAGGATATTCTTGAGGCCTAATGTTGAAGCTTTAATTTGTCTCCTGTTTTTTGAGAGCACTTCAGTTCTGCCATTCCATATCTTTCTTTGTGAGAGATGTCTGGCAAATAATTCTGTTTTCATGAGAACTGTTAAGGTTTCAAGGCTGGTTTTTGTTCCACAYTGGAAGGACAACAAAGCCCTGAAAGAGTTGTTATGAAATTAAATTAATTAATGTGTTCTTTGAAAATCTGATTCATGTTATCCGTTGCCATGTTAATTTAACCACTACCATTTGTTTCCCTTAAGTTTGGTCTGATCTGAGACCACTTTATAATTTATCCAATATATCTTTATAACACACTTGTGATTTTTTCCAAAACAATAGCACTTTTGTCTACAAATTTAGCTGCTTTCTAACTTACTGTGGTGTTTGTTGTGAGCAATATATTAGAGCAGCTTTATTTCCATCCTGGTTTTCCWTTCTGCTCTTCCCTCACTTGCTGGAGCAGAATGAAAAGTCAACAGTCTGGTGCCATAATTTGCTGTTTTCAGAGAGAYATGAGCTGTAATTTAATGAAGACTTTGCCATTTTAGTTTGAGATAAAAGAGAGAAGTTGTGTTTTTAATAGAAGAGGAGGAGTGGTTTATGAGCACAGCACGATGGAAGTGAAACCAGTCTGAAATCCCTTTGTCAGGCATTGAAGTTGCATGTTTGTGGTGCTTTAACCCTGGATGGACACCTTCCAAAGCCAGTCCATRACTCCCCTCAGCTGGACAGGGGGAGAAAATATTAAAAAAAGGCTTGTGGGTCRAGATAAGAGCAGRAGAGATCACTCAGAAATTACCATCACAAGCTTGATTTGGGGAAATCAACCTAATTTATTACCAGTGACATTAAAGTGGAATAATAAGAARTAAAAACTRAATCTTAARACCTTAAAATGWGTCCCCCCATTTTTCCATTTTTCATCTGTATCTACTCATAGAATCATTCTGGTTTTGATGAAATCTCAGTAATCTCTTTGGAACTTGAACATGCTTTATCTCCCCGAAAGGAACACCCAGAGCCACCTGTGCTCAGCTTCCTCATGAATAATTAACAACATTAATATTAATAACGAAGAAATAAATTATTAATCACGATGATGGTGGTGATGATGATGATGCTAATGGTAACAGTGGTGTGTTTGTCCCTGCAGGGCAAGGCCAGCAAACCATGCAGTCATCAGGGCACCGTTTCCGCGATGTCGAGCACCACCCGCTCCTGGCCGACAATGACAGCTACGACTCCTCCTCATCAGAGGCCGACATGGCTGAGAGGGTCTGGTTCATCCGGGACGGCTGTGGCATGGTCTGTGCCATCATGACCTGGCTCCTGGTGGTCTATGCAGACTTCGTAGTGACTTTTGTCATGTTGCTGCCTTCCAAAGACTTCTGGTACTCYGTGATCAACGGGGTTCTCTTTAACTGCTTGGCCGTGCTGGCGTTGTCGTCGCACCTGAGGACGATGCTGACCGATCCAGTGAGTATCTGAGAATTCCTTGGCCTTGGATTCTTCCCTCCATCTGCAGAGAAGTTTGGAGAAGTGAAACCAGTCTTTTCTGCTGGGAAAAGTAGTGTTAAGAGTCAAAATCTTTGTGTCAGACACAAAACCCTCAAGGTTTTGATGATACCTGTACTTATCATCAGGGTGATACCTGTACTTATCCTGTTGTTCCATTAATGAAACCATAAAGGAACAGTCAATATAAAACTTATAGGAGTGTTAGACTCAAGAAAAAACAGTAAAATATTAGTCCAGGTCCTGAAGAAGCTAATAAAATTTAGTCTTCTTTGTCCTAATTTTTCATACTTTMTTCCATCCTGTTTATTTTCAAAATTTGTACCTCCTTGCTGTTGTGTAATTTGAAATGTTTCTTCCATTTGTGGCTCAGAGCTGCACAACCTCAGGCACTCATTGGCACAAAGGAAAAACCACTATCCCACATGATTCCTGCATTTTTATCTTTTGGTATTTGGAGTCAGAGGGAAGGGAGATTTCAGCTGGACACATTGAAGCAGTGCAGGTGTAAGAGGTCTTGAAAGTGCTCATTTCTTGCAACTTTTACTCTTCAAGACTTCAAGAGATGAAATAGTTTATTTTGTACTAAAATCTATTACTATTTTTAGGGAATAAATGTGGGAAAATAAGCATCTATATTCTCCATGTTTTTGGAGAATAACAATAACAGTGTATATAGAAGTTATGGSAGTGTTCAAAAACCCAGCAGGGTGTTGTAGTTAATGATTTTCTAGGTATTTGATTTACTTCTGCCCACACCCAGTGATGAAATATTACAACTTMTACAAACTGTGACAGCTAAGAGAGTTAATGGTTTAAGGATTTATTGCTTAAAAATACGAGCTGGTAAAACTGGATGTCTTTGYAGACCTGTGTTATTCTTTATGGATAAAACATGATCCAAATGGAGATGAGTCACTGCTTYTTCCCTCTGTTCCTTTCCTGCTGACTCCCAGAATGGAAGGCAYAACAGTGTGATAAAAACTAAGATTWAAGGAAGAAARGAGTGAACTGCCTCAAAACATATGTGAATTAAATTTACTCTTGTAGCTACAGAAATAGATTTTTGGTGGCTGGCTGTGACCATGAAAGATGTTTTTGAAATAGAGCATATTCTTGTCAGCMAAATGCTAAAAGCATGGCCTGAGGTTCTGATCCTTGTGACAGGTGAACAGGGGAATGTGAGATGTTTACACCAAAGTATTAACGTGAGTAAGAACATTCAGATTGCAAAATACTCTTCAGGAGTGCAATGTGAGTGTTTGAGGAAGACTCTGTTTGTACCCTATGAGTACCAGTTTGAGTTTGAAGCAACACTCAGCCAAAGGGTACACCTGGGGCAGTGTTTTGGGCAACACAAACACAGATTTATTATTCCAGATGTAGGCAACAAAAACTCCTGCCTAAGCAGAGGGGTGTTTTTTAATGGAATCTGGATTCCAGATGCCTGCTGACTTCCTCATTCTGTGCCAGAACTTCTTCAGGTGTCTGTGTCAAGTGCTGATGTTGCCGAGGGGATTTTTTGGAATGAGAATTTTTCCAAATTAATGAGGATGTTGTAGTTGGCTTTGGCTGACCTGGAGAAGGCTCTCYCTGTGTGAAGGAAGTGCTCACCTGGTGCAGAAAGGCCGTTGCACTTGGATATCACTCCCAGTTGATTTCACAATCACTTCCTCTCACTGATAAGCCTTTCCATAAATGAGCAAGATGACCGTGGTGCTGTCCATTATTTTCTTCTTATTGATCCAAAGTTAGATTTTGAACYTGGGAGGCTTAAATTAGCAGCTTTGTGAAAATCAGTTCAGGAACTAATCACTAAAAATTAATTTCTTTTCCCAACCAATTTTTTTTGCTTTTGATTCAGTTTCTTCAGCTCTTTACCAKGAAGCTGCACAGTAAATAAGAATAAAGAAGCCAGTGCTGGTTTCTGCTCATAATGTGCAAACTAAAGGATTAAGGAAAAAAAATATAACAGTGGGTCCTCAAAAACCAGTGTACATGGAGCAGGTGGTGAAACCCTGGCTTCAGAGAGCTGAAATAGCATCTTCCAAGTAGTTGCTGATTTAACTTTTGGGGATTGCTCGGCCCATTAATCAAATGTCACAACAAATGTTCAGCATAACTTCTCAGAAAATGATGAGCAGTGCTTGTATCCGCAGGGAAAGATGTGTCTCTCTCTTTGTTTCTGTGGGCTGGTGACAGGATATTCCATGGGAATTAAGCTAATACTTGGCCAGAGATGAGTCTTGCTGAAATMAAGCTGAATTTGAGGTCGAGCAGAGGTAATTTATTCATTTGGAATTGATTCTGGCTWATAGGCTTTGAATAAATGAACTTACTGCAGCAATTATCCTGACGTTACTGGTATGAAGTCTATAAAATGTGTTTTTAAATGCTCTCATGCCATTTAAGAAGCTTTCTCTCCTCTAATTGAAATAATTTCAGGGGGCTGTGCCCAAAGGAAATGCCACTAAAGAATACATGGATAATTTGCAACTGAAACCAGGAGAAGTGATCTACAAATGTCCCAAGTGCTGTAGTATCAAACCTGAGCGTGCACACCACTGCAGGTATGCCAGAGTTCCTTAAAGAGTTCTGCATATGGAGGCATGGAATAAATTCCTGATATTTACCTGTTCATTTTTCCCACCACAATTTTTTTTTGGTATCCATTAAACTTTCAAATTCCTGCATTGCAGAGTRTAAGTGTAATATGTTATGGTCAAAAATGACTGTGGATGAGGGGAGAGAAGTAAGAGGTTCAAAGATTTTGTAAAAATCTGGTGTCCTAAATAACKTTGATCTGTGGATATTTTTTCCTGTATATCATTCCAGTTATTRTGCTGTTGGGTGGATAATGCAGGGCAAAGAGAAGAATCTCACATTTCTGAGAGAAGCTGATTTAMGAAATGACTCCTTCAGTCTTAAATTAGTAAAACACAGAGTAGTTTTAAATGATTGCTTTGTGTCATCTCTTCTTTGCAGCGCATTTGAAGTTACATGCGAATTGGCAGATTATTTTCTTAAAGTTACATGAGTAATTACTTAAATGCACTTCTGCTTTTTGAAAATCCATTTTCAAARAGGGCAGAAGTGATGATCATTTGARCTAGACATGCTATGGAAGAGATAGTAAATGTATATTTTTAATACTGAATCTTTGGAGTTTTCAGGCGCCGTGGATTTGCTTTCATAGTGTTTATTGTGTGCCAGTAGAAAATAGCTGTGCCTGCATAATCAGGGCTTACATAAAGATGCAAATTCTTCTTCTGGTGGCTCTCTAGGTGTGGGGAGTGATGTGTGTTGATTGTGTGGAGTATGAAATTGAAGTCTGAGTTAGAGCCTGTCAAAAGCACAGAGCAGAATCTTGTCAGGRCTCGGAGATGATTCTGGAGCTCCGTGGGTTCTAAATTAAAAGCCTCGTGTGTGTCACTGCTCCGTGCAAATGCTAYGGCTGAGAAGCTGCTCCTGTTATAAATACTCAGCCTTGGCACCGAGATCTCGTTCTTCTCTCRGCTGTGAGTGGGTTTTTGTATCTGGAGTGTGAAGGGAGCAGTTCCATGGATAAATAGGCGAGTGTGGAATTATCTGCAGTTGGTTTGTGTGCGGTTTGGGTTGGTTTTGCTCGGGTGCTGCTTTGCTGTGCAGGGAGAGTGCTGCTGCTGCTGCCTTTATAAATGTTCAGGGTGATGGCTGGGGGGTGGAGGCAGCACAGCTGCTCCTGTGGCAGGGTAGAAGGTGTCAATCCCTGGGGATCAGGAATAACTGTGCATCCTGTGCCTCTGTGTCCCTGGGCTGCACCAGAGGGACACCTGGGAGCCCCCACTGGGCTTGGGCTGGACCCCGTTCATTTTCTCATCCCATATTTAGGTTGGTTCCTACAGAGACCTTGCAGGTATCTRTGGAAAGCATTTGCCACATCTTTGGTCCTCAGAGGATTTGCTAATTTGGGAGGAGCCCTAAATGAAGACATCACATGTTGAACTCTCCATGTGACAGAAAAAGAGCTGGAGTATCAAAGAGCCTGGAGCTCAAACACCTCCTTTATTATAGTTATTGTTGAAGCAGAGCAAGAATGGGTAGAGTCTGTGATCTAGGAAATATCTGGTATTTTCAAAAGGTTTGTTTTCCCCAAGCACCTGTTTAGGGATCCAGCTTTGTGTGTYTTATGAATTGTTTTAATCCTTGGCCAAATATTCTGTCAGATGTTCTGCCTAAGGGCAAAGGATGCATTTTGGRGCTTGCTCTGTGCATCCCTGGCTCYACAGAATATCTGAAAGAGAAAGCCAGAGCCTGAAAGTGTTGGGGTATCCTTTTGTGAGGCTCCTGTCATGTTTTTCTCAGCAGTTGGTTTCTGGTTTAATTGTGTTTGTTAATCTAATTCTTTATCTTAGATTTATCACTGCAGGAGTTTACCCGGTAGAAAAAGCGTTTGTTTGATTATGCTGCCAACTTTTTATTGGTTTGCAAACCCATTCCAAGGACATTAAAGGGATGGTCTAGTCCCAAGTATTCAAAGTGGCAATTTGCTGCTAGAAGAGACTTGAAAATGGAAATTGAAGTTGGTTCCTGTTGGGAAATACTTACACTCGAAGTCACAGTGCATGTTTTGAGTTGTAAATTATTAACAGAAGAGACTCTTAGGATGTAGTTACAAAAATTGTTGTGCAACACTGCAACAGAAGTTCTTTYAAGGCAGAAAAAGAGTTTCATAATACACATTAGTGATGGGGAAAAGTGCAAGAAGCTTTTATTTACAGCTGAGTACCTCTGAAATGCATTAAACTGATGTTTTACTGAGYAGTTAACATTTTCAGCACAAGGAAGAGCCCCATCCTGAGCAAATGGGATTTCATTTTCACTGAAGGAGTACAGCTGTCATCATTTCTGCCTGTTCTGTGTGCCTGTGTTTGTGTGTGGGGAGCTGTTACTCTGAATCAAGTCACTGGGAGATGTTTCCACCAGGCTCCCTGGGAATATCTGTTATCCACACCCCTTTCCCTGGAGTCTTTAGCTCTGTCTTTCTGAATGTTACCTTTGGTTAAAGCTGTAATTGCACCTGCCTGAGTTCATGCAGCAGCAGTTCCACGCTGGAGGAGAACTTTTTCCACCCACGGGTGCTTGTTCTCTTTTCTTCTCTCCTTTGTAGGATTTCCCCAAACTCCTGCTGCACAAACAGCTGTGCTTGGACACTGCAAAGGATAAAATACAAAAGGGATGGGGTGGGAAGGAGGCAGAAGCACTGCTTCAAGCGTTGCTGTGAGATTCTTAGTAGGAGATTAGGGATGAAGGCAGGGTTCCAGATATCTGAGCTCTTGGAGAGAGCTCTGTGTGGGCTTGTGAGAAATTCTGAATGAGCAGAAGTGAGTCCTGCCCACCTCACATCCTCCAGCATTCCCATTGAGGCTGGATAGGATTTTACTCAGCACTTCACATTAATATTGTTTTCAGAGTGCTGGCACGGATCCTGTGTCACATCAGGAGCCTTTGGGGTACTCAGGAAAATGAGAGGCTGAACGGGCAGCCAAGCAGTCTGTGAAATGGAAGTCCTTTAAGGAGCCTCCTGAATGTCTCCTGGTTTTTGTGCACCAGACAGTGGTTGTGGTGTTTATTGGGATTTTCACTTGTAACAGGCACTATTTAAAAGGTCATTTGTAGCAGAGGATGAATCCTTTTTAATGTCCATAAAACCAAGAGGCAGTGGTAATGTAGGGGCTGGGGTTTGATAGTTTGATAGAATCATTTGAGATTCTGCCCCATAACCTGCACAGGAATATATTCTGCCTCTTGCTGAATTACCTTAGAATCATATCAATGTGATAACTTAAAAATTATTTTCTGCCTCATGGCATTGATTTCCCCCCACACCTCCCCCTGTTGTCATTCCAGTGACAGTGGTCACCCAGCTTTGCTTTGTAGTTTTTCGCCACAGCCCTTGTAGACACCACCCATAAATCAGCCTGTGTTAAAAACAAAGGGGTTTGAATAAAACAGTGCCTGCCTTTTTTTAGGCTCACTTGTCTTGGTAACTGCTGAAATGAAAATGTTTAATATTCTGGGTATTCTGCAGGAAAATCTGGAGCATCGAGTGTGTGGCTGTCTTAAGTACAAAGCTGGGAAAATGGGATATCAGCATTGCTTAAGCTGCTGATTTATGAAGAGCTTCATCAGATGTTGACACTGTTTTGGGTTTTGTGTTTAACTTCATATTTGGCTGGAGGAATGAGCCCTCTGGTGCTCTATGGCAGATGGCAAATAGAGTTCCTGGAATATTTGACTTTTGTGGATGCAGCCTTGACTCACAACTGGGCAGCACCCAAGTGAACCAGCAGAGAGCAGGAGTGTTTAAAAAGTCATGAACAAGTAGACACTCAAATGCTTCTTTTAATATTTGTGTTTTCTGTTGAGGAAGTGAGGCTTGACACTGTCAGCTGAGCTGTAGTTGAGATTTTGATAGTGTGAGTTTAGAATTTGTCTGGTTGAAACCTCAAGGGTGATAATTTCTCTCTTGAAGATGTGATTGATCAAGAGAGATCAATCAAAGATGTGATGTCTTGGGCTGTTTTTTTTTTAATCCACAAACAAAATTTACAACTTGAAGGCCTGTAAATGAAAAATTTGTCTTTTTTAACTAAAAATACTTTTCCAGAAGGAAAAGGTTTTTTTAAATACTGAATCTAGAGAGAGTTGAAGCTTTGCTCATCCAGTACCACAAATGTCTGAAGTTCTGGATTTGCTTGATAGTGTGGCTATGCAGTGATTGTGACTTATTATGAGGAATATTTTATGTACACAGTCAGTGTTGGAGCAGCCAAAAGCTGACTTTTGACAGGGAACAATTTCTTTAAAGAAATGCAAATAAAATCAAAGTCTGCAGCTTGTCAAGAAACGTTTCAGCGCATCATCCTATGACCACTGGCTGCCCTTGTTTCTACATTTAAATACAATTTCTCAACAGAAGCCTCTTTTCCTTTCTTCCAGTATTTGCAAGCGATGTATCCGAAAGATGGATCACCACTGCCCGTGGGTGAACAATTGTGTGGGGGAGAAAAATCAGAGATTTTTTGTCCTGTTTACGGTGAGTGAGCAGCAACAGCAGCTTGGCTTTAGTCTGGATCTGCCTTGATTATAACAATTTGGGTTGTGCTTAGTGAGTAACAGCTTTAGGACACAATTATGTTGTTGTTTTGGTTGGGTGGGTTTTTTTCCTTCTGTGCAAGGTATTTCTACTCATATTCATTTTTATCTCATTTCAAACTTTATTTTGCTGTTTTTGTGTGGTGACAGTGAGTGAAATGRTGCTCTCTCTTGTTTACAGATGTACATAGCCCTAATTTCAGCTCATGCTCTCGTGCTCTGTGGGTTTCAGTTCTTCTCCTGTGTCCGAGGGCAGTGGACTGGTGAGTTAATAAATACTTACTTTTCATTATCATAATCCAGCAGATATTAAGGAAAAATCACAGCATTCCCCCTAGTTTAGTCCCGTCCTTAAAACATTTCACATCTGTTTATCCATCACTCTCCATTTTTTTGGGGGGTTTTCTCTGCCTTTTCTTCAGTCGTTCTCTGTCAGACCTGTGGCTGTCAGGGCCATTCTCACACCTTTACTCACAGGAGTAATTTACTCCCTCTGTAACAGGAAGGAAACAGARCTGGTCCTCAGCCACACGAGCATTGTATCACCAAAATCTGGGCTTGGTGTGCCCCACCACAGTTCTGTGAATGACATCTGAAATACAAATCAATTTTCCCCTCATTCCGTTACTGCAGCCAACCAGGGGGCTCCTGCAGAAATGAAATTTCCTAAATTGGCCCAGTTTTTTTTATTTGGGGTTCTGACTTGGATTCCTTCATGTTCCAATGTGCCAGAGCTCATTCTGGTCTTGTGCTTTTGACAGAAGATGGTTGATGTGTTCTTTTGATATATGAAGCAGCAGGGAAATCCATGTGATTTTTATTTTTTTTTCAGATATTTTTTCCAGATATTCATTAAATGGATGGAATCTGAGTCCTTTTTTTACTTGAAACATTCATCCTCCTCTGTATTATCCCATATCTTCCTTGTTTAACTATAATTGAGTTGCTCAGGTGATCAGAAACTCTCCAGAGATGTGAGTGTGAGACACAACCTGATTTCTTTATGTGGTGAATTAAAAAAAATGAGTAATAAAGCAATCACAGCCAAGTGGAACATCTGTATTAGCCAGCAAGTCAGGGCTGACAGTGGGGATGGTTTTACAGCTCCACACTGCTCTTACATGTGCARTTCTGAGTGTTTCAGTCACCTCATATGCAAACATTTGTTTGATATCCCTGAAATCCTGAGGTAGGATTGCAGAAATAGTGATCATGTGCTTTATGGGAAGCCATAAAATTCTTTATTTCCTTGGCCAGCAAATAAAGCTGCTGCCAAATCAGAAATTTGTTTTAATTGTGGAATATTACTCCAGGTGTCAGACATTTAGAACGTGCTCTATCATTTGTTGTTGGGGTTTTTTTTTGTAACTACATATTTCATTTTCACAGAGTGCAGTGACTTCTCCCCGCCTGTAACTGTGATCCTGATGATCTTCTTGTGCCTTGAGGGTTTTCTGTTTCTCACTTTCACCGCAGTCATGTTTGGCACCCAAATCCACTCAATATGCAATGATGAAACGGTAAAAACCTTGACTCTTTTGTATCCTATAAAATTTATTTTAGGGAGATATGATTAGATGTTGTTTTATTTGCATGAGGAGAGGCTCTTATTTTGGAGAAAGCTGCAACATTTCAATAGTTCATCATTTTTATTTTCTGCAGTTGGAAGGATGGAGGAGTTTATTGGGGATTGCTTTTCAGGAGAAGTTCTTGCACTATTTGCTTCTCTGACATTTTGTAATTTGGTTTTAAATGACAGARAATGCAAAGCTTCTGACTTAGTTTTGGGTTTCCCTTCTCAGCTGTCACAAGGTCCTGATGGGTGGARTGGGAAATGTCTGCTTTTCTCAGATTTACACTGAAAATCACTGTCTTGTCCCARCCTTTCTCACTTCACTTTGATTCACTTTATCAGAGGATTTTGGGCCTTTGGCAAAGTTACCTCTTGAGAGAATAATTGACTAGAAAAATTTGAATCCCATGACTGTTAATATCTTCTCGTGTGAGGCTGTTTAAAAGTGTATTTCTGTTCTGAGGAGTGAGTGAAAAACAATTGTTAAATATTAAAATGACAGTCAAAATAATGGATTTGGGGAGAGCAATCCTGGCTCCAGGAATTGTGGGGCGGGAGCTTTGTTTGCTTTCATTCTCTGAGTAAACAGCTCKTAGTGTAGGATTGATTATTGCCCATGGATCCAGGAGCTTTTCTGGGATTTTTGTCTTTTAACTCAAGGGGGGAAGAGCTTGAGGTAGATCAACCTTCTTGCAGATGTTTTATGTCCTAAATGTTCTGCCCTGTATGCACAGGGCTAAAACAGTTTCTGTTTTCTCCCTTAATAATTCAATAACAGTAAGAAACTGAAACTAATCAGCCGAGGAACAATACAATAAAACAACACAATAAAATGTACAAACCCAGTTTTTATAGCCCCTATTAGAGTTAACTAAACTTTGGACTTAGCAGTGCATCCCTGCCTGTGTTTATTTACAGGAGATTGAGAGACTGAAGAGTGAAAAGCCCACGTGGGAGCGGAGACTGCGCTGGGAAGGGATGAAATCTGTTTTTGGGGGCCAGCCCTCACTCCTGTGGATCAATCCTTTCGCAGGATTTCGGATCAGGCGACTTCTACTGCGAGGAAAGAAAGGAGGACCTGAGTTTTCTGTCTGAGTCTAACTATGCTGGAACTTGCAAGAATCCTATATAATATTTATTTTGGGGCCAGAGAAGGCTGTCTGCATATAATCTGTGACCAGGTGAAACTGATTTCGGACATTTGCTTGTAGCAAGCAGAGTTTTCTACGTTTATCGTCACAGACATCTCATTAATTCCGAGACAGGAACTGGATCTGCCATGGTCTTAACAGCAGGATACCAGAGGAAAAGCACGTGGTCACAATAAAGAAGCCAAATGTTGTCATGCTACTGTAATTTATTTTCTGAGATTACTTCCCCATTTTTTTTTTGTTCAACCTTTTTTATTTGATCAACGTTTGGGGAATTATCTGTGTGTTTTTATAACGAGTGTAAGTCCTTGGGTGCAGTTGTCAATCATAAGGAGGAGCATTCTGGTGAAAGTTGATCCAGATTTCAGGGATTGGTGCTTGGTTCAGTCCTTATTTCTSTCATTCTCCCACTCCAGGCACACATTCCTCACGTGCAGGTGATCCCCAGGCTGGTGCCCAGCATTGCCCACCCCAGGCACTGGCACAGCCCTGCCCAGCRTCTTCCCAGGCTCACTAAAGCATCTCCTGTGCGTGGCACTGTCCATCCCTTGTGCATTTAGGGAAAGGCAAAACCTTCACTCAGCAGCTTGTGACTCCTGGCCAAATTCTGGGGGCCAAATCCTGCCCTGGGATGTGCATCTGTGATTCCTCAAGCGTTGGTTGCAGAGGAACTGGAGCGTGGATGGTGCAGGGATGAGTGGGACCAGTGTCCTGCTGTGGGAGGTGACAGAGAATGTACAAATCAGGGGAATTCACTGCAAAATCTCGTCCTTGTAGGGTCTTGCTCTGCCTCTTTTTTACTGCACAAACTTTTCAGAGAAGGAAAGCTGTTAATGACCCCTCAAAGACATCAGAGAAAGGCRACTTCCCTCCTTTCTCAAGTACAACACGTCTTAAATGTAGAAACATCTGCAATAGAACGAGTTATTTTGAATTTAACCATTTCCAACCAAACTTACTTTGAAGAAATGAGAGCAATATAGATCTAGAACTGCTTTATGTGGGCCTGACAAACAACGGTAGTGCTAAAAAATGTTCATAAATCTGCAAGTAATGAAATGCAAGCTGCAAGTAATAAAAATTCAGCTCAAAAGTTGATCCTTTAAAAATTACATTTAGACTATTTTTTTGTATTAACCTATGAATTACTGACAAWATAAAGGATAAAGCAGGAGCCTTGATGCATAGCTTGAAATCGTGCCTAGAAAGTAAATAGCTCCCTGTTTTGGGACTTGCCTTAAAATTGTCCTGTTGTTGCTTTTGCTCAGCCAGTGGCACTGGTGCTGTGTCCCACCTGSAGCAGCTCAGCCCTGCYCTGCAGGAGCTGCTCYCTTTTCCAGTGCCCTGCTTCTCCATCTCTTTGTGGCATCCCGATTCCAGCTCCATCAGCTTCTGCTCCATGGGGCAGGGGAAGTTTCTGAGGGATCCTTTTCTTGTCTATGGCCCCGTGAACAAAACTGTGCAATACTTTGGGATTAAGTTCACTTTGCATGGGGGGTGTGGAGGTGTGGAATGCTGGAGACTTCCCAGGGGTAAATCCACAGGTGAGCAAAACTGGGGGAAGCTGGAAGCTCCACAGATTTCTGTGCATATTCACTTGCACACCTTAACGTTTGGGAGGGAAGAAAGTGTCTGGCTTTGTCCTRAGGCTCTTACTGTGTATATTGTTCAAGGAGAAAATCAGAAAATATCACTCCAGGTGGTTGAACCCTGTGACTTGGCAAAYGTGTGCGTGTGAAATCCGGTTTACTTGGCTTTTCAAACCCTTACGTTGTAATTTTTTTTTTAATGTAAAAAAGAATAAACTAATGAAATGAAGTCTTAGTTGATTAAATTCTCTCTGTGTCACTTTTTTTTTTTTTTCACGTGTATTTGCACTGAAGCAGTTTCAGGGAAATGGTCTCGAATGCTTTGGTTCATARTTAATTTGTATTTATATTAATTAACAGGTGATACTGCTCCAAATTAAAGAAGATTCTCTGCTTATTAAGAATTTTAAGCTACACTYAATTTTAGCTCTTCTCAGGCATTTCTTTTTGTTCATCCTCTGCTGTAGCTGCTTCTTTTATTATAGAACCATGGAATGATTTACATTGGAAGAGACCTTAAAGCTCATCTTGTTCCCACCCTGTTGTTCCAAGGTGAGTGGGAAAACGCTTCTAATTTGAAAATTTACCACAATATTCCAGCCTTTGCACTTCCAGGGAATTTGTGATGCAAATAATTTGGGGCTCTGTAGTTTCTCTGTGCAAGTATTTTATTTTTCCTCAGTTCCTGCAGCTTCAGGAGCAGAGAGCAACAGGTTGTGAGTGTACACCCAAACAGAGGTGAGGAGGAACAAATGGCAGTAAAGGATGGAGACACTCAGAGCTGTTTATTTCCCCTTTGCAATAATTCTAAAAAATACTTGGAGATGTTTTCCTGGCTCTGTATCAGACTTTTCTGCACTGCTGTTTCCATGGAGAAAACATCTCCAAATCCAGGAACACAGACTTGGTGCCAGCACTGCTGATTTTTTTGAGCAGGTTAATGATTTGGTTGTGTTTGTRTGCCACAACAGCCGGGCTGGGCTGTGTTTGTGTGTATTTTAGGGAAGACTTTGTTTATTCTCCGTGGGGAACAGACGTCCCTGCAGATGGATCCTGCCAATTTAGCTCCTTTTTATTTTCTTGCTTAATTTCTAGTAGTGTCAACATTGCACCTTCAGGAATCCTTCCTGAAGTATTGGACGAGGGGAGAATTCATTTATGGATTTCTTTATGCCTGTCCTGTGCAAAAATGTTGAATTTCTACAATTGTTCTGCTTCTTTCTGTTGGCATCAGGTCCGTATGGGAATGTATTTAAAGCTGTTGGAGAAAGAATGTGGCTTAAGGGGTTATGAAATAAAAAATTGGGCTGTAAAATGCTTCTGGGATCTGTTAATAACACTAAAATTAAGTAGGCCAGCATTGGTCCTGTATATTTTTTGGTTTTTATCTTCTGAACAGTTACAGGTCAATTCATGTGATGCACTTCGTATTTTAATGTGGTTTGCTGATTTTACATTGACGAGATTGTTCATTTTTTATTTTGCTTCTTTCACTTAATCGTATTTTTTTTGAGCTCTGAATGTCTTTAATTTTTTTCCTGCCTGCATTCTAATAGCACATCTGCTGCTCTACTGCACTTCACTCTTGTCATCCCCAGCCAAAGCCCTGGAAATGMTCCAGCAGGCATCAAAGCAAGCACAAGCTGAGTTTTTTAATAAAAGAAGTGAAACTTTGCACCTCCAAAATATTTTTGCAATTTCTCTTTATATTATAGTGCAGCGTAAAGTTAATATTAGACCTAAATTCAATGGTAATGATGCCAAATATTAGAATTGCCAAGGAAAGGGATAACTTAGAAAAAAATGAGACTTTTTTGCCTGAGGTGCCCCATATTCTGATAAGCAGTGCTGGCACCTGACAAGGGAAATCTTTTTAAATGATGGCTTGGAACCTCTTTTATTAAAAATATCACGATTCTAAGAATTCCAATAAAAATAGTCATTTCCAAGGTGTGTTAGCATAGGAATAATGGTTTAATTTAGAGTGGGGTGTGGCAGAGAAAGATTCACAGCAAAACTCTCTATTTTGTACCTTTATACTGAATTATTGCTGCAAACYTTCACTGGACCAGCTGAGCCTCTGGTGCCTGGACAGCTTTATTTCCTTCTCATTTTGTGAATTGCATCAGTATCCAGTGAAAACCAKGCATTTCAGCCCTAGGTGATCCTTTTTAATGAAAAATAGATATTTGTATTGGGGAAATCAGCAGAGAGCCTTGGAAACTTGGTTTTGAACTAAAAAAAAAAGGCAAACTGTCCGTATGAAATACGAGAATATGGAATTTATTTCCCTCATAGATTTATTTTCTTACCATTAACGAGTATAAATGTACATTTAATGTCTGGGAGAGGRATGGAATGGAGCTGTTGGAGGAGCTGGAAGCAATGCTGGCTCAGGACATTGCATCTGTCATGCAGCAGGAATGCCTGCAGTGGAAGCTGCTCTCCAGTTCCCAATCAGAGTTATCAGCGTCAAACGGCACATCAAATTCATCACAGGCAGGAGAAAAAACATTCTGATCCAGCTGAAATTCAAGCCTGTCTCTGATGGCTTTCACATCTCTGGTGCTGTGGAATGGCAGTGCTGAAATTCCCCTGCTGGTGGAAGTTTGGAGGCTCTTCCCAGCTTTTCCCTTTCAGGTGATGGGGGATGTTCTTCCCAATTTTCCCTTTCAGTAGATGGGGGATGTTCTTCCAAATTTTTCCCTTTCAGTAGATGGGAGAAGCTCTTCCCAATTTTCCCTTTCAGTGGATGGGAGAAGCTCTTCCTAATTTTCAGATGATGGGATTGTGTTTCCAGGATTTTGTTTCTTTCTGAGCATCTCCAGGTGCTTTCCAAAGCCCCTCTGAGCTCCACCATCTCGGTTTTGCCACCGTCAGGGAGGGCTGGGCTGGGAATTTGTGCAGAGACTCAGAGCTGAGGATTCTCCATCGTGTCCCAGTGCTCAGGATGGCCACTCCTGATCCCTTAAGAGCTCCCTGGTTGAGGCTGAGCCTAAATTTTGTGGGAATATGATCATCTGCTTTTTAATAAGGTCCCATTCCCTCAAATCAACTCTACTGCCCTTTGGGAACACTTAGGGCTGTGCAGTCATCACTGGGCTTCTTTAACTCGTTTAACTGCTGATTAAATTTAACATTCAGTGCTGAAGCACCTTTTTTTAAGTACAAACTCTTTTAAAATGAGTGGCTCACAGACCTGTCTCTTCCTTTTCTTGGCTAATTTAGAGCCACATTGCTGCCGTTACAAAGAAATACAAAACTCCAGAAAAATTGTAYCTGCATATGGGGAAAAGGTATTTTGGGGCATTTTTGTAATGAGTGTGGCTTCTTCCAACAATGTCTGCAGCTAAAGTTTGCAGAAGATACAAAGCAGGGATTGGGATAAGTCCCTCTTGATTTGGGGCATGGTGAGAAACAAAGATCTTTCCTGCTGCCTTATATTAAATGTGCTCACAAAGTGGGGTCTGTCAGCTGGCTCACAAATGGATTCTAATATACTGAGAAATATGGAAAATAACAAAATGTTGGCGTTTCTGATCCTAAATAACAACTGCCCAGTGTTAAATGTTGGAACAAGGCAGAATTGGCTGCTCTGGGCAGAATAAGAAGGCCTTGGCCTGCTAAAGGTTGTGACAATGACTTTCCTAAAGCCTAACAGGAGAAACAGGAGTGTAATTAATTAAATTTGGGATGGGAATGGAGCATTCCATAGCAATTCCAGCCCTGCTGTGTGTGTTGGGGATCACCAAGGAGCCATGTGGCGCACTGGGGTGATGGAGAAAGTTCCAGAAATGTTCTGATGGCACCAGAAATGTTCTGATGGCACCAGAAATGTTCTGCCCCAAAGGGCTGGCAGTCCTGACCCTACTGAGGAGGGCACAAACCCCAATCCTGGTGGTGGGAATCCCATGGCAAGGCTCCTGGATGGGAAGGGATGGGATTGGCAGGAGGTTCTGTGCTCTGCCTCTGCAAAGAGAAAGTGCCCCTTTCACTCCTCCACGTTGCTCCCAGCTCCTGCTTCTCCTCTCCCTATAAAATCTCCTGTTTTGGGATCACTGTCTGCGGCAGGAGCTGCACGATGGTGCTGGGCCCGGCACTGGAGCCCAGTTTGTAATCCTCACTGCCCGTGCTGGCAGAAGGAGATGGAAGGGATGCCTCAGGAGATGCTGTGAGAGAAAAGAACCAGAATTAATGATGTGGGCTGGGATGGTGTTCCAGAGAAATCAGCAAAGCATTCTACAAAGCAAGGAGCAGGAGCTTAGGGGATGCTGGCACATCCTTCTCTCCTGGTCTGGGGTGGACAAATGGACGTGGAATGGTTCTTGTCAGTGTYTGGCACTTGGGAAATGTCCAAATCCTTCCTCTCCTGGTCAGGGAGAACTCAAACTGCAGCCCCACTGCACCTCATTTACAGAGCACAATGTTTCCCTAAACTCCTTTGCTCTAAAGGGGCTTAAAAACAAAATAAAAGCACCCTAAAATACATGATGCCAATATTTATACAGCTGAGAAACAGCAAAATACACTGCAGGAGGTGTATGATTGTACCTGGCAGGGGAAGGGAAACTCTGAGTGCCAAACATGGGGTTACATGGCACTGGTTGTTAAATTACAGCTCCTGTTCCACTTTCTTTTTCCTAACAGCACAGTCCCACAGGGGAGAAATCCCTTAACCAGCTTCCTACAAGGAAGAAATCCCTTAACCACAGTCCTACAGGGGAGAAATCCCTTAACTACAGTCCTACAGGGGAGAAATCCCTTAACCACAGTCCTACAGGGCAGAAATCCCTTAACCATGGTCCTGTAGGGGAGAAATCCCTTAATCATCATCCTACAGGGGAGAAATCCCTTAACCACAGTCCTACAGGGGAGAAATCCCTTAATCATGATCCTACAGGGGAGAAATCCCTCAACCAACACTCCAGCATGGCCCAGGGTGGCTCAAGGTGGTCTTGTGTTCAGATCATATGGTTTGGCAACCTTTTGAACTTAAAGAAAATAAAGAAATAAACTTAAAGAACTTAAATTAAATTCACTTAAATAAACTTTTTTTTTTTTTCTCAACTTTCTCCTGCCCAGTCCTCCTGGTTGCACTGACACTAATTATGTAAAAATGGGCTGTAAATACAGTAAAAATGGGCTGTAAATATGGTAAAACTGGGCTTAAAATACCTAAAGAAATAAACTTAAAGAACTTAAATTAAATTCACTTAAATAAACTTATTTTTTTCTCAACTTTCTCCTGCCCAGTCCTCCTGGTTGCACTGACACTAATTATGTAAAAATGGGCTGTAAATATTGTAAAAATGGGCTGAAAATAATGTAAAAATGGGGTGTAAATATAGTAAAAATGGCTTATAAATATGGTGAAAAATGGTCTGTAAATACAGCAAAAATGGGCTGTAAATACAGTAAAAATGGGCTGTAAATAATGTAAAAATGGGCTGAAAATACTGGGAAAAATAGGCTGAAAATAATCCAAAAATGGGCTCTAAATACAGTAAAACCAGGCTGTAAATATGGTTAAAATGAGCTGAAAATCAAGTAAAAATGGCTTCTAAAGATGATAAGAACAGGCACATACGGTTTGGAGCAGYGTGAATCACAGAGCTCATGTTGCTTTGCAGGACGTGCCCTGGCAGCGGCTCCAGGTTGAGGTTGGGAGGTCCTGACTGGTACTGGAGATCAGCAGTGGTTCCTGCAAAAGGAATGGGAAGAGAAATCATTCCCTGCATAGTTCCTCACAAGCCAGATGCTCTGGGATGGATTCTTTCATGCAGAAACCCTCTGTGGGTGAAGGTTAATGGCTCATCTTCGCTTCCTTCCTCTTTGCTCTCAGCCTCTCTCTGTCCAGGAACAGCCTCCCGGGATGTTTGGGGTTTCAGCTGATCTTTTCTGGCTGGGGCTGTGTCCCAGTTGCTGTTCTTATCGAGGTTTCCAGTATAAAAATTATCACTTTTGCATGTTGCTAAGAAAAAATGTGATGCCTCCCTTGACCGGCCTCAGTCAGCCAGGAGGCCTGAGTTGAGTGCTGCATCACAGAGTGAATCGTTTGCTATAAATCTTAACACTCGATTTTGAAATTGGAAAATCGGAAATCGGAAATGGGAAATTGGAAATGAGAAATCGGAAATAGGAAATCAGAAATGGGAAATCGGAAATGGGAAATCAAATGGGAAATTGGAAATCGGAAATTGGAAATCTTTCTAGCTGATTTTCAGAGCTTAGATGGAAAGGAATAGCTCTGGGATTGGGCTGGAGTGAGCCTTGGTCAAACTGCAGTTTATAAAATGGTTTGGGTTGGAATGGACTGGGMAGGAACATCTTCCACTGTCCCAGGGTGTTCCAAGCCCCATCCAGCCTGGCTTTGGACACTTCCAGGGATCCAGGGGCAGCCACAGCTGCTCTGGGCACCCATGCCAGGGCCTCCCCACCCTCCCAGGGAACAATTCCATCCCAATATCCCATCCAAACCCACTTTCCTCCACTTTAAAACCACATCCCCCTGTCCCTTTTCCCACCCATCCCCAAAAAAAACCCCAAACCACGCCACAAAACCCTAGACAACCCCATATTCTCACCTCCCAGCAGCATCTCCTGCAGCAGGCTGTCAATCCTGGCCACACCAAAAAGTTTCACGAACTGCACCTGCTCGATCATGTGCCAGGTGATGCTCTGCAGGGGCGGCAGCAGCAGCAGGATGTCGCTGAAGCGCCCGCGACAGTCGTACTGCCGGTCGTTGATGTAATCCTCCAGGTTCACCTGTACCTGGAAACGCATGTTCTTCACCTTGCCAGGCTCGCTCAGCCCTTTGCAGTCTGGGGGAGAGGGGAAAATGGGGTTAAGGGATGGTTTGTGGAAGGAATTGGTGCCCTGGAGGGAATGAGTGGAGGAGATGGCAGTGAGGTTGTGACAGTCCCCAGGATCAGCTGGGAGGTTGGGCTGGAGAGCTGTACATCCCACAGGGAACAGGGGACAGTGGGGGGATTGGAGGGGAAACGGGAATTGGAGGGGAAAAAAGAATTGGAGGAGAAACAGAAACTGGAAGAGAAACAGGAATTGGGGGGGTACAGAAATTGGAGGGGAAACAGGAATTGGAGGAGAAACAGAAATTGGAGGGAAAACAAGAATTGGAGAGGAAACAGAAATTGGCAGGGAAACAGAAATTGGAGGGGAAACAGTAATTGGAGAAAACTTAAAGGAAATTTCCTTCCAATTTGTCTGAAGGAAAACTGTAATTTGAAGGAAAATAAGAAAATGGGACCTTGCTTCTCATGGAAATGTCTGCCTGCTGCAACTAGAGGATGGGAAAAATTTATATGTTACAATATTTATCCTTCCAAGGAAACAGCCTGGAAATTTTCCCCTGAAAACTTTGAGTCACAAACACCACTGAATCCACACATTTTTAGTGCCTTTGAGTTGTGATTACACTCACTGCAGCATCAAGTTTTTGTGTTGCTCTCCTGCCTGTGACCTCTGCTCAATCCTTTTCCTTAAGGACCTCCGGTCCAGCTTTGCTTAAGCATAAATAAATAAATACAATATAAATAAATAAATAGATAGATAAATAAATAAATAGATAGATAAATAAATAAATAAATAAATAAATAAATAAATAGATAAATAAATGTGCCTCTGGGTCAGGTGAAGTGCTGGGATTTGTATCTTTTCTCTCCTGCCTCTGCTGTTACCTAAACCTGAGATTTCTGGATCACTGCACCATTTCCTTCACTGTCTGCAGAGAATCCACAGGCACCACATTTTCGGGATCGTAGTGCCAAAAAGAGGGAATAAAGTAGAAGCACGAAGCTCTGAGGACATTCCTGCTCGTTAGCATGGMTGAACTTCACTCCTGGAGAGCTTCACACCTGCTCCTTGCAGCTGAAAGCTCAGCACCTCCCTGTCACATCGATCCAGAGCTGCACAGRGACACCCATCAGCTGAGAAGGTGATTTGTCAAAATCAATTCTGCAACACCAGCCTTACTCTGCACACAGCAGGCCTTGCTGAGCCGAAGTTCATCGTGTTCCTAAAACTCCTGTGCCTTGATTTTAAATCAGTGAATGCAGAAAAAAACCCTTCAATTATTGGAAAATACTCGGATTTCTCCACGATAAAAGATAAAAGGGTTGGGACTGTTCTCCCACCTCTCCTCTGAGCTCCTGGGAGATGCACACTGGAGCCTGGGCTGAGGAAGAGCCCTCTGTGGTTCTGGAATGAGACCCAGCAAAGTTTCCAAACGAGCTGTGGTTCTCYTCTGCATTCCCCTGTTCCCCATCCCGGGGGGATCAGCCCTGCCCTGGCTTCCAGCAAGAGCCATTAGCAGCTCCCTGCCATTTCTGGGCACTCTGAGCAGCCCAGCTCTCTGTGGTTTCTGCTGGAGCTCTCTGCACTCTGATGGATGCTCAGCATCGCTGCTCCATTGTCTTTTTGTGTCTATCCATAATTAAAACAAGCACACGTGTCCTTCATGGTCACCTCCTGCTTTTCAGGCTGATGGATTCTCCCAAAGCCAAGCTCCTGAAGCTGCCCAGCTCCTCCAGGGCCTGCAGAGCCTTGCACACCAGCCTGGCTGGAGTTCATATTTWCTAAAGAGTAAAATACTCAAGAGTAAAACACCTTTTCTAACTGAAAACTGCACTGCTGAGTACTGCTCATTGCAGAACAGGCAGGGTAAATGCAGAGCTGCTCCCAGGGGATTTTCTGGTTGTTGGAGAGCCCCCAGCTCCTTGGCAAGCAGGAGGAACCTCACCTGGGTCGAAGAAGATGATGGCTTTGAGGCAGGCGTACTCGTTGTCGTCGATCTGGATGTCCCGCAAGGGCTTCACCAACTCGTCCAAAATTCTGGTGGCCACACGGGCGATTTCCAGCTCTGGGCAGTGCATTGGGATGATGAAATCATTCCCTGGGAACACAAGAGGAATTCCCCATCAGGGTTTGGCTCTAGTTCTGGTCTCACCCAAGGAGGGTGCCTGACAGTCCCAGTGCCATTTGCAGCAGATTTCCAGCCTGCAGCTCCATCATCTGATCCAGGAGGGGGAAGCCAGGCCTGGATCTCATTCCCTGCTCCTTATTTATCCCATCTGCACGTCAGCACACCCACACTGTGCACACAGCCTGCTCCACGTTCTGCTCTGCTTTGCCCTCTGTCKCATCGAGCATCTGTTTGTAAGCACTGTTGCATCTTTATTTTTGGTGGGTTTTCTTTTCCCGAACAACATTATCCCTCTCTCTTTTCTTCAGTGAGAGCCTTTCAGGATCAGTATTCTTATTTTTCCAAGCACAATCTCCCCTGTGGTGGCAGAGAGCTACATGAAAAGGAAACACCTGTTTGCAGTGGAATTTTTAAYAGACTTTTGTGCTAAGTTTTGAAGCATCCATACCCAAATATCTCATTGCTTGTGCTTGGCAATTTCAGGCACAAAACCAAGGCAGCCCAGTTTGAGATGCCATTTAAATACTGGGGGTTTCTCATGCACAATTTCAAAGCAGTGAGGGCAGAGTTATAAAAATCCCACTGAATTTACTTGCTCCTTTTTACCCTTCTCTCAGAGTCTCCACTCAGACGTTCAGCCCACGCCTGGGGGATTTTCAGAGGGGATTTCAGGGAGGCAGAATGATTGGGAATGACTTGGGAGGGGTGAATTATAAAAGCAGGGGTGTGTTTCTTTACTTTACCTAATAGCAGAAAATCAGTGTAAGGTATGGACCTCTTGGCCACCCCCAGGAGCAGATGTTCCCCTGCGTGGGCTCTGAGCAAGGCAACCTGCAGGAGGCACAGGAGAAAGATAAAATTATATTTGTAAAGCAAAATAATTAATTTGCAAAGCAAAGAGAAAAAAAAAAAGTGCTGAGCTGTTGCAGTTTAATTAAGCCAAATTTGGTGCTTGCTTAGATCTGGCAGAGATAAAGTTCTGTTAAGGGCTAGAAAATATCAGTGTTGTTCACTTTGAGAAGTGCTACACTTATGGCAAACTAAATAAAAAACTGTTTTCAACTAAAAGAGCAAAGAGAAGCTTGAGCAGTTCGAGTTTTTAGGAAATAAACAGATTCTATATTCAACTATTGGGTATCATTAATGAAAAAATCAGTCTGCATTTTTTACAGTTGGAGTGACCAACTCTGTATTTTTGTGGGGATATGGCTACTTATCCTTATTATCTTTTATTCTTTGTCTTTATTGCGTTATCTTTATTTTATATTTTATTTTAATTCATTTTATTTCATTTCATTTTATCTTATTTTATTTCATGTTATTTTATTTTATTTCAAGTTACGTTATTTTATTTCATTTTATTTTATTTCATTTCATGTTACGGGGTTTTTTGTGTTATTTTATGATATTTCATTTTATGTTATGTTATTTTGAATTGTTATTTTATATTATCTTGTCCCCTTGGCCTTCATGACCCTTTCTCTGCTGTCACTTTCTTGCCCTGCACAAGGTGATCCCACTGTCAATGCCGGATTCTCCCGTGAAATTTCCAGCTGGGAATTCCTTCCCAAGGCAGGGATTTTCAGGGAAGAACCACTTCCATCCATACCTGGTCATCGAGGGGCAGCTCACAGAAGGCTGGGATGTATTTTGCCCACTCCACCAGCACCAGGAGCTGCTGTTTCATGGACTCGCACACGTCGTTGATGGTGGCCACCTTCTTCATGGCGATGTCTGCGCTGTGCACGGGGCTCAGCGATAAATACTGCCAGAGAAACCAGCCAGGCGTGTTGGGAACACATCAGTGCCTCTTTCCCCCTCCTCCAGGGCAAGAATTCATCCCAGGAGGGCCCTGATGAGATATCCCCGCCGTGGTTTTACATTCGAGGGTGAGACACAGCCATGGAGCATCTTCCACGAGGTGGTGCTCAGTCCCAGCGCACACCCAGCCCTCCTCCGCCTCCTCTCCAGGCAGGAGAAAAATTCAGCACAAAATTCAGCACAAAATTCAGCACAAAATTCAGCACAAAATTCACGTTCCCATTCCCAGCAGGAGTCAGAAACTCCGTGTCTCAGCTTCCCATCAATCACTCCAGCTGGCCAAACGCACAAAATGCATCCAGCCTCGCTCCTCCACGCTGCTCTCAGGGACACAAAACTCCTGTTTTGATCTCTGAAGGGCTGCGTGGCAGGGGGAGGGTTAAAAAAGCATCGTTTTTGAAAAGGAAGTGGGCTCATTGCTGCGTGTAACGTGCAACATCTGGGCCATATGTTTCAGTGGAGAAAGGGTATTTGTATAAGAATTTAAAGGAYGCTCAGGGTGAAATTTATGGCRGAGYATGGAATAAAAAAGMAATCRGCCTCAGCTRAAACCTGGCGGATTTATTCACATTRTTTTTCTGCCCTAAAATTRTTATCCTGATAAAGAAGTTACAAGGAAAGCTACAATCAACAATGACTGGAATATTTTTTTCAGAGCAGGACAGAGAGTGCAGCAAGGAAGGATAAAACTGTGAATACAGTGAGTTTTTAGGGGTGCAGTGACAATTTAGGCTGGGGGAATGGGGATCTGGGGTCTGCAGCATCCCCAGCCCTCAGAATTTCAGTTTTGTATCTCCCACCGAGTGCTGCAGCTGCTCCCTGCAGGATGTGTTGCCTTGATAATGGATTTTTCCTGTCTGCTTTCAGATATTTTACATTTTCCTCCCTGTGGGATTGTGCAGGAGCCATCCGAGGGCAGGGAAAACATCCAGCCCTGGTTGGTTCAGCAGGCTGGAATTKCTGAGGCCACAACCCCRTTTGGAGAGCTGTCCCCAYGTGTCCCCACATGTCCTGTCCTACCTGCTGTGCCATGGCCTCAGCCTGGGTGAGGACATTGATGGAGAGGGAGCCGTTGTCCTCATAGCTGCTCCTGCGGATGCTGATCCTGTCACGCTCGTTCTGCACGGCTGGAATGAGAGAGAGGAGCTTGTGTTAGTGAAAAAATCCCAGTGAGAGAATCCCAGTGAGAAAATCCCAGTGAGAGAATCCCAGTGAGAGAATCCCAGTGAGAAAATCCCAGTGAGAAAATCCCAGTGAGAGAATCCCAGTGAGAGAATCCCAGTGAGAGAATCCCAGTGAGAAAATCCCAGTGAGAGAGAATCCCAGAGCTTGTGTCAGTGAAAAAATCCCAGTGAGAGAATCCCAGTGAGAAACTCCCAGTGAGAAAATCCCAGTGAGAGAATCCCAGTGAGAGAATCCCAGTGAGAGAATCCCAGTGCTGGTGTCAGTGAGAGAATCCCAGTTTGAGAAACCCAGTGAGAAAATTCCAGTGCTTGTGTCAGTGAAAAACTCCCAGTAAGAGAATCCCAGTGTGAAAATTTAGTGCTGGTGTCAATGAAAAACTCCCAGTGAGAAACTCCCAGTGAGAAAATCCCAATGCTTGTGTCAGTGAGGAAACCCCAGTGAGAGAATCCCAGTGAGAAACTCTCAGTGCTCCCAAAAAACAGCCTCAGGCTCCATCAGCCCTGCTCCATCAGGGAGCAGAAGGGATGGATTGCTCTTCAGCAGCTTTTTTTTGCAACCCAGTCTCCAGTCTGCTACCATCAAGAGAAACAGCAGCAGAGAAAAAAAAAAAAAAAAAAGGAGAATTTAGACTTAACCCAGCCTGTTTTCAGTGTTGGTTTCTCCCCCAAGCCCTCTTGCCTCTGTCCAGCAGCTCAGGTATGGGGAAGGAGCCTGAACACAGAGGCAGAGTTTTCCTGACAGCTCACAGATCCTGGCTACAAACAGCTCAGAAAAAGGCACTCCAGGCACTTAAAGCAGAGGGAGCAGGAAGATTTACCATGTGGTGAAAGCACAGCACATCCCTCCTCCTTCATCCAGCAATCCCAGWCTCCTTTGGTTTTATTTCGGGGGAATGACTCAAACTGAGCTGCCAAAGCACGGCTTGCTCTGTGCTTTAACCCCTTGGGTGCAGAACAGGGTGGGTTTGTCTCAAAAGTGGCCACTGGAAAAGATTTTTTCCATCAATTATTATTTTTTTTTCTCTGCAAAATCAGAGAGGTTATTTGGCTGTCCTTCTTTTGAGGCTTTGCCTTGCTGCTGGGTCTTTTAGAGTATCACTTTTTTCACTCATTCCTGGGAATCCATACAAAAGAAAAACGTGGGCACTACTTTGCACAATTTGAGGGAAGATTTATTTTTTTCTTTTGCTAGCTCATGTCCAACCACTGTTCTGTTTTCCTAACCGGCCTCTGATGAGAGGCCAACAAAGTGAAAGGGCACAAAACAAGTATCAGTGACAAAAATCAATGCCTCCCCTTATCGACAGGAGCCCAGTGTTTATTTTCCAAGATCTGGGGCTCAGCCTTGCTGTCAGTCAGGATCAGCTCGTGGGGATCTGACTTTGTAMCTCGGAGCCAACCTTGCCTGCAAAGGGCTGGGTGGGTTCATGCATTTCTGAAAAGTGCCACAAACAAACATATTCCTGAACGTTTTCAGGCTCTGGACACTACAGAGAGGCAATTTGTCACCAATTTAGAGAAAAAAAACATTCCCACCTGAGACAGAAGCAGAAGTTGCYTTCTGCATGAGGAGGGGTCAGTGAGGGATGCCCCTGGCTTGAAGGTAAAGGGAATTATAGGAACCAGAATYTCGACCTTTCAGGGGTTTTAAAGGTCCACCAGAAAGGTGAGTGGCAGCATCCAGCACTCAGGAGAAACCAGCCTGACCCCATCTGTGCCATCACGGATTATTTTGGAAGATCCCCATCCAAACTCTTACCCCTGGATTCACACCAAGTGCTCTCAGGGCACTCTCTTTGCCTGCTTACACAAAAAGGTGCAAGTTCTGCCTTTCCAGCTGAGTTCTAGATAAATCTACAGACCTGGCACTCATGACAGACCCCTCCATGAGGCCTCAGCCTGKTTTTCCCCTGAGTGTTTTCACATTTCAGCATTTCCCTCACGCTCTGACAAAGCTCAATCTCCCAGTTCGAGTGGAGGCACAGCCCACCTTTCTCAAGGTGATCAGGGTGTTATTGCTGAAGCACCCGGGATGGGGTGGAATTAGACACAAAAGGGAGTTAATGTTTCACCTGCCACAAAAATTAATCTATCACCGTGCAGCGATTCTATTGCTGTATTTATTGTGTTTGGCAAAGGGAAGGGATGGGTCACTCCTGGGAGTGCTGGGCTCAGCTGGGATCTTGGCTTTGCTGTCGATAAAACCCAACAAATCTGCAGGAAGGACTAAAATCCCAGTGCTGGATTGGCAATGTGGGGATAACAGGCACAGAGGAGGGAGGAGGGAGGTCCATGTGTATGGCACTCGCTGGGACTTGCAGTGTTTTCACTGACAGATTTACTCCTCCTGCTGCCTGATTAATTTATATCCACAAATAATCCTTTTTTCCCTGAGCTACCTCAGATTTTGTAGGTGTGGTGTGTTTTATTCACAAATAAATCCCTGTGGTAGGCATACATTTAATCCTTTCATGGGCTTTGGGGCTGATTTATGACTATTGAAGGCAGAGAAGATCCTTTATCTTTTCCATCCTTCTTTGCAATAAACTGCAGTCCCCAGCCTTCTGAAAGCTGGCAGAAAAGATGTGCAAACAAGAGGTATGAAACAAGATAGAGGCCCTGTGAAACACTAATAAAACTGTCCTATAAACCTGTCCAATTTCACAATAATAAATTTAAAAAAACCTCCATCCTTCCCACTGTGCTGCAGCAGTGATACACCAATTCTTGTTACTTCTGCATAAAACTAAAGAAGTTCATGTGTATTCATAAATCACTTTGAAGGGGATGATAAGTTAAATATTAASCCCTCTTTTCCCTTTTTTTTCCACCTTCAAACTGAATCCTGACAGTGCAGTGCTGGCATTCCAAAAGGGTTCCAGGTTTTCAGGCACTCAGTGCTGTGTGAGGAGAGATGACCTGGCTCTCTGGAGAAATCACACCCTGCTGATTTATTCCAGGTTCAACATGATCTCATGGAGATGCTAAAAATAGCCTGCTGCTGTTTTCTTTGGCTGTTTGAGTACCTGGTGTTCTCCTCAGACACTGATGCTGCCCTGACCAAAAACCTGTCCCGTGGCATTGTGCAAGACAATAGAAATCAAAACTTGTGTGCAAGGAGAGAAAATCAGGGAGAGCAGCCAGAAAATCCCCTAAACACCCAGACCACTGTCTGGCACAGCCCCAGCCACAAAATAAGACAAAAGGAGGAAATTTCCGGCAAAAACCTTAAATCTTGATCGTGGAGGTGTTTCAGGAGATGAGGGGTTTGTGTTCAGGCAAGGCTTTTTCTCTCTCCTCATCCTAACTTTATGGCTGTTATTAAAGTGAATTATTTATTAAAATATGCAGTTGGGATAGGAGTGATGCTGAATGAGCTTTGTCTGTGGGGTGACTTTGCCTGGCAACACCTCCCATGGCACAGACAGCGACAGACACTCCCCCCCAGAGATGCTTCTGCCATGGGACGGTGGAAAGACTCCACCAAGGGATGCACAGGAAGGTTCAACTGTATCAATTGTCTGCTGTGAGCAGGAGGAATTTGGGAGGAGCCAGAGCCATAAAAGCAACTGCATCACTAATTTCTTGGTCTAGACTTCGGGGTTTTTTTAACTCTGCTTTTTACTGCTAGATTTTGAGGGCCTGGGACTTCCCAGAGACTTGGTTTTTGACGTTGGTTCCGGGGTTTTACTGTGCTTTTGGCTTTTGGGATCGCTTTCCTTGGCCCTAGCCTGCTTTTTGTCTTTTTGCTTCCCTCCTGCTGTGCTTTTGGCAGAACGTGGGCTGAACTTCGAGCTTCGTGTGCAGCGTCTGCCTCGCCCCGCTCCTTCGGCCAACCCAGCCACCTCCGTCTGTCCTGCCTCCGTCTGTCCCATCTCTGTCTGTCCTGCCTGATCCACCTGTCCAAGCCTGCCCACCTCCGACCCCTCCCGCCGCCACGATCCCCGCTGTGACTGTGTCCAGCCTCCCAGACCTGTCCGAGTGTCCACTCACCGTGTGTCCGGCATCCCTGTGCTGCAGGAGCCGCGCTTTTCCCAGACCACCCCCCAGTCCTGCAGCTTTCTCCCTCTGTCTCTCTTTCTCCCTGTCCCTTTTCCATTTTCCTTTCTTTGCTGTCTTTCCCATCCCTTTTTAGTGGTCACTTATTCTCGTTTTCGTTGCCAATGAACGGTTCTCAGATACAAAGTTGGTCTCGGTTGACTTCATTTCATTCTTGGCCATCCATCAATAAAAGAACTCCTCGCAGTTCCCTGTAGTTGGGGCAGTCCTGGTCCCTTCTAAGACTGGGATCGAATCCAGCCCATACAAACCAGGCAATCTAAAGATCCTGCTGATTATTTTCTCAGCTATTCCCGAGGAGCCTGCTCAGCGCCTCACCACCCTTCAGGGGGAAGGATCTTCTCCTAATATCCCACCTAAACCTCTCCTGACACAGTTTAAAGCCACTCAGACGTTTGTATCATATGGCTTTTTCTTTAGGAAGAAATTTCCCTTCTACCAGGCTACACAGTTCCTTGTACTTCCTTATTTACTAGAATTGTTTCCAAAAAGGAAAAAAAAATTAAAAGAAAATAAAAAGAAATATCCAAATGTGTCCCATCACGTCTTACAACACAGGAGGACTGGAAAAAAAAAAAAGCTCCCTGTGGATCCAAAACTCCCGTTTATCAGTCAGCTGTGCCAGGGAACAGCACGTTCCCCAAGGCTGGGAGCACAGACACCGAGCAGTGGGTCAGTGGGGCGCCCAAGGGTGACACAGCCCTGCTGACCCCACCCCAGGTGTGCTGTCACTGCCAGCCTGGGAAAAGGATCGTTCGCCGCTCCTTCCCCTGTGCCGAGGATAAATAATGCTGTCACCACACCCTGGAAACTCTGATCGTCCTTACAGGGGAATGAGCGCGGTGCCAGCGCTGCCACACGGAGCGGGGAGAGCGTGGATGTCACCACTGTCACCTCCCAGCACSAACTGCTGCACGCTCCCAAAGATTTCATACAAATATTTGTGCCCTCCAATTGCGCTCTGCCCAAGGCACGGCTTCTCCTATTCCCTAATRCTTCGCAATACCGTTTAATATTAATCTAGAACCGCCCAAAAGCAAACAGCCGTGTCCTTTTTGTGCACACAATTGTGCAAGAAGGTTTCTTTCCCAGCCCTGCACATGTGCCTGGGGTAGAGCTCCGGCCAGCTAAGCTCAGTTCTGCACAGCAGTTGCTCAAGGTGCTTTAAAACCTTCCTTGCCAAACACAGGAGCGTTTTCCGAGCCTCACAACCTGACTGAGCTCATAAAAAAGTCTCAAGGAATGTGACGATGTGGAACTTGAAATGAGTCATCTTCCATCGGGCTGCGCTCAGCGATGGAGCCATGAGCCAAGGTTTTATAACTTTTACCATAAGAACCCATAAAAATCCTGCTTCAGCTCAAAGAATAGATCTGATAACCAGATTTCAGCCTTTCCAAGCAGTGCAGTTTGCTGCATTGGCATTTGGCATGATCCCCATCTAGAACTGACCAGATCAGCTTCAATTTTTCATTTATTAATCCGAGCTCTGTTTATTTTCCATCTGCTGTATTTACTCCATTTCTCCTAAATTAAACCAGCCGGCACTTTTGCCTCATCCATGACTTATGCCAAATTTCAAGACACCCTTCCTCTCCAGGAAAACATATGGTCAGAACCTCGGAAAGATCATTTCATCACCAGTAAAAATCTTATGAATTACCAGAAATCGACAGCAAATTTCCCCCTTGGTTTCAGTGGAACCATGATTTCACCCCTTGGGTGAACTTGGTGGCATGGCAAGAAACTTTCAAGCTRCTTTCTGCCTCCCTCAGCTTTTAGCTGCTAGGAGGTTGGGAAACAGCACAGATGAAGGGTGAGGAGTGTGAAACCATCACTCAACTCCCTGTGCCTTGGGTGGGCTGGGCCACCACTTTGCCAAGCACTCAGTTTTCAAGGATAATCAGAATAAACCAGGATCATCCATGCCCTCCCAGTGTGCAGATCTGGGTGAGCAGAGACCAGAAGGGCTGTGATGGATCCCAGATTTCCCCAGGGAAAGCTGGATGTGACACAAGTGGGCTCTCTCCTGCTGAGCATTAGGCACTATAACAGAACTTCCTCCAGAAAGGGCACATYCTGGTGGCCCCTGGTACCCAAACCTACAATATTTCACCTCCTTTCTTAAATCAGCCCATGGGAAATGCAGCCAAACATGTCAACCCACATGGGATTGGCCCTTCAGAGCTGGTGCTGGTGCTGGCTCCACGATCACATCATAACCAAAGGGTTTGGCTCTGACTCACGTCCCTTCTTGAGGACACATGTGCCACCTCTGGGGACAGCTGAGTCACTGCTGTGACTCACAGAGCATTGCCCATGTGCCCTGTGCCATKGGAGAGGCTCCTTCTCCTGCAGGCACCATGCTCGTGCTGCCCTTTGCTCTGGCACGCAGCAATGTGAGCATCAGCCCAGCCAAACGCTCATCTGGAGTGGCTTTTGTGACACTGAGGGTGGCAGGTCCTGGCTGGGATTGGCACAGGTGGGGTGAGGAGTCACGCCAGTGGGATGGAGAGAGGGAATTGCTGCTGTAAAGCACTTAGGGACCTTCTCTGAGGAAGCCCATCCCTTTCCCAGTACTAAAACATCCCAAAAAGACCAGCCTCACAGGATAGGTGAATAATGTCACCTTGCTGTCATTGGAATTGAGATAAAATAGCAAATGGGGCTTTCAGCTGCACCAAAAAAATCTCTCTGTGTGACACAAAAGCATTATCTTTTCCAAGCTGCACTGCTGCTGCTCCCCACCATGCTCTGCAGCGGGCCAGGGCCCCAGACAGCAGCAGGCAGCTTTGGGATGTCCCTTTGCACCCACCTTCTTTCTTCATGCCGGCTCTGAAGCATTTCTTCAGCCTGCAGTACCTGCACTGGTTCCTCTTGTCTTTGTCTATCACGCACTGTCGGTTGAACCTGGAAAAGGGGAAACACAACATGGAGCAACCAGCCCGGCCTCTGCACCCCCCTCACCCAGAGCAGCCCCAAACACASCCCAAACACAGCCCCCTGAGCTCCACACTGCATGATCTTAGAGAAGAGTCTAAGATTTTTAAGAAATGGATTGAACTGACATTGTTCAGGCCCGACTCCCCCTGTTCTGCCAGCCGGGAATGTGGMGGCCTCAGACCACCCTCCCTGCAGGGATGGGCTGGCTTTGGCTCTAAAATCACCCCTGCGCTCTGGGAGAGTCTCCATCTCCATTTTCCCAACAGTATTTTTGTGTTTGGCACTGGGGTTTGTCTGATTTCAGTTGTTAACTATTCACAATTTGCACAGAACGAGCTGCCTTACAGGCCGCCAGCCCCGTGTGTCTGCAGCTTTGCTCTGAGGCACAAGGCCTCCCAATTCCTTCTCATTTTAATGGGATTTGGGAACCTTTTTCTGCCTCAGAGGTGGCCCAGGAGGCTGGGCAGTTTTCCCCGTGGCAGGTGAAGCAATGGAAGGGTAATCTTTCCACTCAGAGAAAAGTGGGCTACTCTGGGACCAGCAGGCTGTGAAAGCTGAGGCATTTCCCAGGGTGGTAAAAAGCAAAGGTACAAAAGCCCAAAAACTTCCAGAGGAATTCACATCTGTGATGAGCAGAGCTGCAAGCTGGGCTCACCAAATAAGGGCTTGCACACAAGCTTGGTTTGGATGCTGTGGATCCTCCCTGAGCTGCCAAATATCAGAGAGGTTTGTGGATTCCTGGGGAGAGGCAACAGCTCCGCTCCCACAAGACTGGGAACTGAAACGTCAAAGAAAACAGCAATAGTTGCCATCTCCTCCTGCATGAATCCTGCAGTTTGTGGGGTGAACACTGCTGTCACCTCAGGTGTTTTCCATGGCTGGTGTGCCCTGGAGTGGTGATGACACCAAGAACAAATAGGGTGACTCACATTGGAAAAATATGGAATGTCCTTTGAGGAGGAAGAGCTTTGGAACAGAAAGAAAACTTCCAGGTTTTAATTAGAGATAAAGGGCTCGAGTGTATTCAGGTTTGGGATTTCATTCCGCTTTCTCTTGYGCTAAAATAAACATCATTTTTTTCTAAGGTCAATCAAGATAACAGCTTTATAATTTATAGCCTCCTCCTGGCAAAAAAAACCCTCTCCCAAATGTATACCTGTTTGCCAAAGTGGATATGAATCATCTCTGGTGCACACTTATTTCTCAGAATGTTCATAAAATCATCACTGATAAGTCAAAACAAAACCAGACAAGATGTGAGAGTGGGTGTGAAGGTTTTGGAGGTGACAGACTCTTGGATGCTTGTGGGTTTTTACCAGGAAAAGCAAGAAATATGAAATCCCTGGAGCTCTGGTCCTTTGCCACCTTGGCTTTCCCCTGCTGGGCTGTGACGAGGTCGTGGCGTCACTCCACCCTCRGGGTCTGTGTTTATGTGTTTTACACATTGGCCAAACCTCAGGTTTTGGGTTGGACTCGARGCTCTCAAAGCTCTTTTCCAACCTGGTTATTTCTGTGATTCTCACGTCTCTGAGTTTCCCAAGATTTACGCCATGGGGAAAGCAGTGATGGAGAATTCACTCAATGCATTGCTCAGTGCCAAGGAAAGCCTCAGGGTCCAGGACAAGGTAGGACTGAATTTAGAGATAGGATTGAGTTTAAAGATAGGACTGAGTTTAGAGATAGGACTGAGTTTAGAGATAGGACTGAGTTTAGAGATAGGACTGAATTTAAAGATATGACTGAGTTTATCCCTCATAACCTAAACTGCAGCCCCTCTGTTGGCCTTCATGGCATGACAACTTGGCATTTGAGACAAGATCCCCCAATCCCCACCCCAAATAATTATTTCTCACACCCATAAATTGATTAATTGCAGCGGTGCCGGTACCTGCAGGAATAGACGTGGTTCTTGCGGACGCTCCTGCGGAAGAAGCCCTTGCAGCCGTCRCARCTGGAGGCTCCGTARTGTTTGCCRGTGGCTCTGTCCCCACAGATGGAGCACAGCGAGCTCACCCCGTTGGGGAGCAGGTTGGGGTTCACTGACTCRGCCCCGATGGTTTCTGCAGGCAGARAATGAGGACAGTGACACATCACACCTCCCTGTGAGGGAAACCTCTGAATTTATGGCCGTGCTCTTTCCAAACTCAGCTCCTTTGCTTCTGGTATTGGTGTTTTCCTTCATGTCAGTCACCAGAGAGATTTCAAGCTGCCTAACCCAAAATGCTTCTGAGAATTTATCAGTTATCACTGCTTTCCTGGGCAGATATGAAGGAACCTCACCTGGGTGTGAGTTTTATGTTCTTGAGGGATGGGGAGCCACCTTCTCAATGAGAAAGCTGAAGGATCCCTGGATCAAAGCTGGTGTCCACAGAAGAAAATATGAAAAAAACCTCATTAACCTGAATAGATAGAAGGTGGAGAAGAAACAGCAGAGGCAGAAAGGATGGAGTAGTTCATCCTTTGTTCTGTGCCACTGACAGAGGTGTTGAAGATAAAAGGTTGATCTTGAGAGTTCTTGTGCAGTTCTCTGGGAGGCAGAGATAGGAGCTTCCACAGGGATCCCTTCAGTTCTAGGTCTGGCCCCTGCTCTGAAATTCCCTCAGAAGAGCCTCATTGCTTTCCCCTAGAAAACAACTGAGGTGTGCAGGAAGATCAACATTCTAATTGGGGACCTAAAATCAGATCACATGAATGCCCCATGTCATGTTTCCATTTGCAGCCATTCATTTTTGGGGCAGGAATAGCTGTGCCTCTGCCTGCCCCGTGAACACTGCTGAAAACTCCCCTTGGAACCTCTCCCTCAGCYATAACCACCCAATTTCCTTAATTAGGAATCCTCCTAATTCAGGGAAGGAAAAAACAGGAGATCCTTGGGAAGAGGCAGCTGACAATGTTTGTATCTCTGTGTCTGTTTGCAGAGCCTGACCTGGCTCTCGCTGCAGGAGGGTTTTATGAATTTATCACACCTTTGGGAGCGTGTTCTGCTCTCCAGGGGCGCCCATYTCCTGTTCCAGTGACCTCGGAGAAATCCCCAGGACAAGACAYGTCCTGATGCGTTTCTGGGGTGGGACATCCTGGCAGCGGAGATGGGGAAAGCTCAGCTCAGCAGTTTCTTAGAGAAAACCACCCAGAGGGGAGGAATTGTCTGATCTGCCCAGAGAGAGTTTTCTGATCCATAGTGTATAAAAATAGCCCTGGGTAATCCACACACAAAATAGTCCTGGGTAATCCACACACAGAAATCTCCACGTATACACAGAGCGCGAGAGAAGGTTATATCTGTGTGCAAATACACATCAAAAAATTATAGTAAAAATATTTGCTGTGCAAGGAAAATTGTAATCAACCTCTCCCTGCCCCTCGCTCCCCCCCACCAAAAAAAAAAAAACAACAAACCAAAAATCCAGAGCCAATAAAGCTTTAGTTCTTCAAAAACTGGAAAATTTCTTAGTTAAGGCTGAGACTAAGACACTTTTAGCTAAGACTTCACTAATGCAAAATTCAGACTTCCCCTCACCCCTTAAAAAACCCTTTTGGTCCATATTTCCTTTCTGGTCTATGGATGAATAAATCAGTGGGATATAGCAGGATGGGAACAACATGACAAGAAAGGATGACAGCATCAAAATCGTTCTTAGGTCATAATGACAGGAATTGAGATTTGCTTCTTCCCAAAATCTGTGTAAGGTGCTTCCCACTCTGACATTTGTCAGGGAGTGGTACTTTCATCCTTTGGAAACCCTGTCTGTGTCAGAGGTGTTTAATGGCAATTTAGGTTAATTTTTAAGGTTGTGGGTTTTTTTTTTGTTTTTTGTTTTTTTTTTTTTACAATGACTCTTGATTTTATTTTAGTTAATAACTCAGTATTAAATGAACTGTACAGAATATTCCTTTGAGGATAACTGCACTGTTAAACATTTGGGCATCTGTTGTTCCATTTATTTTTTAAAGGAGAATGTGACCATAAACAAATGAGCTGAGTGTGCTGGTTTCCATTWAAAAAACTGTACAACCAAAATAAAGACAAGGTGGCCAATTTCCTCTTCACTCCACTCATGCTTTCTCTAGAACTCAGAGGAATCAAGCCAAGGTCAAGCAGTTTAGGTCTCCAATGGACCCTTAATCCTCCAGCTAGGTCCAGACTGTAAAATATTCCTGATGCTGGAAAATATTTACTCACCAGAAAATACTTATTTTTCCTTTATGTGAGTAGGATGTGAGAATCTGCTCACTGATTTAAGGAAGTAATTAACAATCTGGCCTTAAACCAGGTATTATTGGGGAGGAACCATGAGGGCTTGTGGAAATCAGCAAACCAAATTTTGCCCTCACTTATTTCCATGGAAGCACAAACAGAGCACCAGGGAGTTGGGTGGCTCTGGGTTAGGGCAGCTCCACAACTAAAAGTTCAAACCCTGCGAGGGAGCCAC